AAAGTCTTCGCTACTTGCGTATTAATGGCTGCTGAGAAAGACAGGTCAACTCAAGCAAATGGACTACCGTTTTATAGCGGTGCTAACCTAGTCTTCATTACGCCGCGTAGTAGTTTATATGTATATATTTAATTCGGACTTCGTGTTGTGTTGACATATACTAAGGTGATTTCCAAAAGAGTAGACAGAACCAGCAACTAGGCTTTGAGTTTATTACACCTTATGAAGTCAAGCGAGGAAATGTCAGGGTCGATTTGATTAGAAATTAGACATCATTTTATTTATAGATTTGATATAATTGCGTCATATTGTGAATTAAAATTTAATTATTCGTTGTATATAAATACAATTATACATAAGATATTAAAATATCATTTACATATTTGGTACAACTTTTTACTACATGTTTCGGTTACATTGAACCATATTCAGGTGTAAAGTTAAAAGTTAAATATAATTATAAAGTTAAGTATAATTTTATTTATATACAATTGTGATTAGACGGAAAAAACACGAATAATCATTTTATTTATTGGCGTAAGTTATACTGAATTCTAAACCACGCAGGGAGTGCCAATGAGGCTACACAAAACTGAAAAGGCCCAGATGACAATGGGATGAAACTTCTTACTAACGGCTTTACAGGTGATAGCAGCCAGCGTTATTTTATGGGTTACAAAACGCTGTAAATTGTGGCAGAAAGTGTAACGATTCAGAACGCGAAAGAAATACAGATTTCACATTTTATTAAATCAGAAGACAAATATCAGCAACTTCATCGCCGTAACAGCCTCAAATTTCACGCTAACTTTCTTAGGTTAATTGCCCACACAATCCTCTTATTTATCAGTAGATAACACATTTACGTCTAAAGATTTTCTGTATTTTGAGCTGTTGCGCCGCATAGTCTGGTAGAAGTTTACCGACGTTTCAGAGATGCTTACTGCCTTCATAATCAGGACGATGTGTATCTAAGCAACTAGTAGTCTCATGGTCTTAACAGATATTAATATCTGTTTATATCAAATTCACGAATATATTTTAAGCCCCGCAGTCATATATAACCACTAGGAAGTCCTAAAAATTCTAATTGCAAGCCAAAAAATGTAACCAGGACTTCATTATTTAACACGCAAAGAAACAGTTTCCTGAACAGTGAGATTTAAAGTATCCCAAGCTATGCTAAGCATAAATATACCGTCATTTTCCAACTTAATTATAAATTGTAGCCTCTCCCCCACAACCGCCTACATGACTATAGTGGGACAGCTTATATTTGTAATTTCGTAATTAATTTTGATGGCGGAACAGGCCAGAGGTAGAAGGAAATCTTCAATACGAAATAGAAACCATCACGAAATTTAAAATATCTTCTTCAAAGTGCAATTAACAAAGTACTAGGCTAGTTAGTCTAATTACTAAACATGATAACAATTACGTATTGCTGATGAGCATTTGGGAGTGTAGATCACAATAATCACAATTCTTGTAAGCCTTCAGTGCGGGCAAACTGATAAAACTCACTAAAAGCTTCCACTGTCGCGGGACGGACACATTTCCTACTGACCTGATATAAAGAATGTCTTATTCTTACAGCAGGGTTCCTTTAGCGGGGATAAGCACATCATAAGGTCTGTACCATACAAAAGAGAACACAGGACAATAGCCGGGAAAGAAGGGACAGATAGACGGATAACTACGACCGCAGACCACCCTCCGCCAAAGAACGTGCGCGTTTTAAACCTCGTGAAAACACTGACAAAACTCTGAAAATGTAACTAGCAGAATCCTTCAGTCAGGTTCTTACAATCAGCCGCACACTAAACACGCTAATGTGTGTTCAAGCTAAGTAATTCATTAATACATTCTCGTTAACGATGCATGAAGGAAACCATCTTACCGACGTTTTCCTGCAGATAGTCTGGACAACAATTTCTGTTTGCGACAACATTCTGACAGCGATAAAGAACCTTCAAAATGTGATACTAACGGCGTCTCGAGCAATCGACATGAAATCGACAAAATTCACCCACACAGACATAAAAGGTTATCGTTATAAATCGTGACGTGTGGATAGACAACAACGCTTCGGACCCTACTTTTTTCTGTCTCCACTTTACAGTTATCTTTCTTAATTAATATTTATCACACCAGATAAACACATAGTTTATAGTATACAATTTGGAACAAAAATTGTGTTTCATAAAAATATTTTTGTGTAGATTCTTTCTTCAAATGTCATCACAATCCGTTCAGTGCGTAATTTTTCGCTGCTACCGATAGACTGACGCAATATTTAAAGAGAAAAGGTACATTGTTAAAAAAATACGGAGTTTAAAATTTGGTCTACATCAGATTTACTGTGCGGTCTGTAGAAATAAATATTCCTGTCCATTACAATTGGTGAAATATCGACATTTACATTTTACGTGAGGGAACCAAAATAACTTGTTGTACTTACCACATTTTAGCTCAATACCAGGCCCACAGAAAATTCCAAGTCCCCAAAACAACCATCAAGTCACCTGAAAAAAAATAAGATACGCTCGTCTTTAAACTCTGGGCATTAAATGTTGGTCTTATCTACAAATGGCATTGTGACTATTTCTTTCTACACATGATCATTCTCATTTCACACTTACATAACGTCTGCAGCTGATAAACAGTCGTTAAATAAGCCACGTAGCAAATTTAAAACAATGGTTACATTATACACTATTATCATCAATGTCACTTCCGTGTTCCGATTGCAGGTGAATATAACTCATCATGGCGATACGGCATTGCCCGTTCATTTTTCAATCTGGGTGTTAAGATAAGTCACGTTACATTTTCATTATCGAACAAGTCGTTCTCAAATTTCGTCTGCCACATGTCTGGGCCTCTGACCCCTAAGGTATAGCACAACAGTCCAGGAACTCACGCCGATGGTTCTACAGTCCCTGTCTTCAGACCTGGTCCCTGGCCACGGGAAGGTGTAACACTATCGATATTATCTGTTATGGGTTTAATGGCTGAAACTCTGTATTCATCCGGGGAAGTTATACGTCATTACGGAGTAAATTTCCGATGCTTCGAAAATCTCCTTTCTTCCAGCATTATTTACTGAAACATTTAATTGCATTATTAACTGACTGTAGCCATATTTTTCGAATAATAATAATAATAGGTTTCCTGTTTTAACATGAAAAAACATAATAAACTACCGTTTTTCATATTTCCATAACATTAACCATGTACTAACAGACTCGACTTCTCAGTACCACTGTATGCAGGACGACAACTTCAGAATGTCTGGATCAGTCATGCCATTCAATACTCATGGGAGCAATTTGTAAGCCTACGTCGTATCTTTGCGTTTACCAGTCACAGAGTCACTGACCTGTGCTTGAAAGTCTGTACTAAGCGAATTAATTGCTAAGTGTTGCCATCACTAACAGCAGGGTCAAAATCACTTGGCGACTCCCGGGAGGGTTGGCGGTGAATAAAATCTCTGGGGCGTCTCACAAACAAACAAACAACAAACACACACGGACACAATCAAACGACAACCCATTGGTTATGTGGCCCTGCGTCATACTAGAATTTATAATTTTGTAGAGTTTGAAGTTTTCCACGGCTTTGTAAAAAAAAAATTGTGACCTCCTGGGCTTCTGCGACGTGTAGTATTTTGGTTGCATGCTAACGTTTTGTAGGAACATACTGCCTTCATTTTCAGTCCTGACAACAGAGGCTGTATATTCCTACGAAACGTTAGCATGCAGCCAAAATACTACACGTCACAACACCTCCATGTAACTTCGGCTCTCGGTGATGAGCAGCATTGAGTGCTGAAGATTCTCGAACGTTTAGGAAAATTATGTAGTTGCCATGTTCACGGTGGCGGGGTTAGAAATCCCTGAAAGATCTGGTAGTGGGATTTGAGTCCGGGGTGTCTGGTGTGATTGGGCGAGAAACAAATCGGTTGTGATCAATGACCTCTAGAGAAATGATGCCAGAATTGTAACGACAAGCTTTGAAAGTGTGTTCCGTACCGGATTATCTTCATGCGTTCTTCGCGACGTGCATAAAGAGATAAGTTCCCATTTTGGCCACCAGATTGCAGCACAATGTCTACCATACGATTATCTTCATCCGTAATTTTATCACCTCTGAGAGGATATTAAACAGTACGATGAGGTCCTTCAGAATGGCACAAACTCCACACCAAATTTCATCCCAATCCGTAGAGTGGTTCTAGAGCAGAATCAACTAGACGGACAGACACGACCAGCCCATAATACACTCTCCCTATGCACTTTGTGCAAATAACGCACAAAGAAAGCGTAGCAAAACCAACGTGTTCCGATGGTTACGCTAATAAATGTCTTATTACAAGCTCCTTCATAACTGCGTATCTAATCAGTGCTAATCAAGCGATTCCGTTATTTGGCGGTCGTCTTCGACAGATAGGCGTACGTATTTTGATCAGCATGTCTGGCACACAGACACGTTCAAATTCCTCCGGAAATAACAGTTTCTTTTGTTCGTTTAAAAAAAATAAATAGTGCATGATTTTCTTGAACCAGTGACTAGATAATTATCTGGTTTGTTTGTCAGGCTATTAATCTCTGCCATATTAAGACTTTTTCTTTCGAAAAATAAAGAAGAAAATAAATTGGTGTCTACATACACGAGTATGTAATGTTATAATTTTGGGGTTTCGGCTTTTGATGTTTTTTTTTCTTATTTATACGTGAGTAAAAAAAAGGTTACAAAGGGGTGAGGTAGAATGAAGGAGAAAGGTGTTTCGTGTGTATTGAATGAGTGTTCCAAAAACGGATGCGTAGAGAGGTGGAAAGGCTTGATAGTTGGGTCTTTCCCGCCGCGAGGTCCGTTCGTCTACTGTTGTGATGATTCTTGCCGGCTCGCTGGCCAACCAGCCAAGCAGCCAACCGAAGACCACCTTACCGGCCAGCTAGCGTTCAGAACACGCTCCCCCCATTCGTGTGTAAGTGGTACTAGTAATAGTGGCAGTGGAGTAGGAGAACACGGCTGTGAAAATAAGAAGTGTGTGGCGTGTTGCGGTAAAGCTACAAAGGTGGAGTGAGGGGGATTACTTTAGTCGAGGAGGGGGCCAACACGGCAGTATTCAACCCACGGCGGCCACACAATCTTCTCCAAGTCAGTCAGTTGGTCGGTGATCGGACTCGGCCTCGGATCGAATCGGATCTGAACTTCAATATCACCTACTAACCGCTTCTGGTGATTGGTGTCACGATGTGCTATTTATCGCAGGGCTATCTCCAGCAAAGAAATTCCGAAATTCGACAAATATTCTTTTTTGCAGATATCGCGTGAAATGACATTCCAGTGTTATGTGTATGTCATCAGACAAAACTTATTAATCTAGGGATTTTAGAATATCAAAAGTACTGTCACCGGTTTTAAGAAGTTCCGAAGACATTCTGCCAAATTATCGTGGCTGTACGCCCCTCAGCCATGCAGCACTGTTTGCTGTCATCGCCTTTCATACACATTGCATGAGAATTTATATCGAAATAAAAACATGGAATATCGACATTTTCGCAATTAGCACCACAGAACTACCGAGGAAACACGACCAAAAGTGAGAAATAAAACAAAAATCTTTAAACTACTTACAATTACCACAGCGATTATTCGAGGGATCCATAATGATAATGGAAGTTCCTTCAGACATCACGTCGCCATTGCCTGCAGTTCGCGTTAGCAGTTTCATTAGAGTTCCGTCTTACGTTTGCTTTACCACTCATTACTAAAGGTTAGAATTTCCTCTTCAAAAAACGACCTAGTGAAGGATATTTCCTGCTTTCTTGAGGTTTTATACACATTCATATTACAAATGAAATGTCTTGGGTTTCTATAACCTCAAAAAGTACTATGAGGCAGTTGTTTCTAGCTAGCTAGGTTAGGTAATGTATACATATTGGAAGGGGGGTCGGTGGATTGGAAACGTGTGTGTTAAGCCTGGTTTCTTTCATATATACAAGCCACGAGCCCAGGGATCATCTTATTACAAACACAGCCCGACGATACACACGTGCAAGCAGACAAGAAGATTTGGTTTTCCACGTGGAGGACAGCTGGATTAATGTGCAAATATCACACATCATGGAGCCAAGGTGCGGTATTTCGTGTGTATAAATTTATCTTTTAATTGCGGTTTTCTGTACCGAACATACATATCCTGTACGCGAAAAAAACAAAACATTTTGCTGTTACGGGGATCGGTTTGTCCAGGAAATTATCCCCATGTGGTAACTTCTTCCATTCCAGGAATTTCCGTCTGTAGTGAGATTAAACAAAGAGCCATGGTTGTATGTGGTATATGTGTTTGATAATATGCAATGAATGATAAGTTTGTTAATCAAGTGTACGCCTGAGGGCCTATTATAAGCAATTCACAGCTCAAACAAGGTACTGTGTGCGTGTGTCACAGAAATGCTCGAAACACGTTGTGAAGTTCTGGCGGCCGTTGACGGCAACAACCAGTGGCAAACCCATGTCTAGTGCACGGACGTAGGACTGATTCCTCTCTTCGAGGATTCTGAGACTTTTAATTCGTAACAGCACTGCCTCAATTTGTAATATGCAATCACAACATTGTATTTCGATTAACCTAAGGCCTCCTAATTACTATGCAACGAGGGTAACAATGACAAGATACGTCTGTAACGAAATATAAATACTAAACAGTTAATGAGTACGAATGATGAACTAAATTATCAACTACCAATTTGTTATTTGTCTATTTGTAAAGCTCTCTCAAACAGAATTTAGTGCGACGTGTTAATCCTTTTGTTTTTTAAGTGACTAGAAGATAAACGAGGAACATACAGGAAAAAACTAGATGATTTAAATGTGCGGAAGAAAAACTAGTTCTACAGTAAAGAAATAAACCGCTGAAGTGAGGCTCATCTCTCGCTGCACACGCGAAATGTGTTCAGTTGTACCTTACGTGTCCACGTGTTGCGAAGTGAATTTTGTGTGTCGGTGCTAAATGTGCGTTGGTTTCAGCAGTACTAAAGAACATTTAGAACTATAAAAGACGTGCAGCAAGATTCTTCTCCGTGAGGTACCTCAACATCTCCGGGGACAACGCTGTCTCTTCTTGCACTTAAGGTAAGTACATTTTGAATTCCACAGAGTAATCGTTAATTACGCACGTTCAATTTGAGCTCTGTCCCCACAAATACAAGTGCCTCCTTTCATCCATTTTGTTATTTGGTTGGTCTGCGCATGACCACAGCTGCTGCTATGCTTCTTCGTCATTTTACTCGGGCATGTTTGCTTTTGTATGTTCTAACTACTGTCTTTCGTTATTGAAACAGAGACAGCAGATGCCATATATATAGTATTTCTTCTGTGCACGCTCTGTAAGTAGTCAATCGCTCAATCACTCACTACGTCAGGTTCAAGCACCGTATAATCTGGGTAGTAATAAATCCATCACTTGTAACAATTAATCAAGTTGTCTTCACAGTGCATCCATTCATTCCGCTATATACCCATATAGTTTTCACTTACTCCTTTAGCTAGAAGTGTCTTAAAACATTTTAAATTAATTTTCTGCTTCGTTTATTTATCGTTTAATAATGTTGTTAACACTGTGTTATGCCATTCAAGCCTTCTGCTCGTACAGAGTTCGTGAATTTTTTTGAATTTGTATTCCTTTCTAAACTACTGCTTTCAAAAGAAATAAATTATAAATTGGTTCCTTCGTCCATCCGTCCAACAGCGAACCAAGAGTTCGCTCCCTGTCTCACTAACAAAGCACTTGCAATTTTAAGCCATTCATTACTTACGTATTTATTCATGATTACTTATTAATTAAACCTGACGTTCCATAAGTGTCTGGTTCTCGTTAAAGAGATCGTTGGGACACTTGCCGAGACAACACAGTGACTTTCCCACCCTCAACGAGACAATACTGTGAGAAAGATCTAAAGTTTTATATCAACGTCATTAATCTATTTTCTCGTCATGACAGTGGTTACAGACGGAGATGTGAGGGCGGAAAGAACAGTCCTTTTTGTCTTCGTGACATTAACCAGAATTTTTGTAGGGAATAAACTCGTGTAAAATTGGGAATAATAAGAACCGAATGGATTTTCACATTAGCAAGTTGGTGAGACTGTACATTACTCTCATGTTGTTTACGCGTAACATTGCCTGTTCAGCGAATCGTTTTCTTGGAAGTACCAATCTACCTGACCACTGAGACAGGAGACAGTTTAAGTTACTGTACGATTCTGAGCCCACAACAGAAATATGTAGACAAGACTGTGCCATGAAAATTACTTTTGCCGACATTTAGATATAATCTAATAAAACTGTCAGTTCTCAAAGTAATATTAACTTGTTTTTGCTGTGTATAAAATATTTTTCTCGCATTTCTTACATTATTTTCCCAGTTTCTACCCAATATTAAAAATTACATAATTCGTTTCTGAACTCTATCCTAAGTCAGCTGCGGCCAATCTGTTTTAGTAACCTCCTGACATTACTCTCGTAACTGTCAGGTGTTTTAAAACCGAAACTAATTATTTTCTTGTTTCCGCCATGAGTGGTATATATTCTGTCCATGACATCCTTATTGAGTTAATTACCATAACGATATGAAGTGAACAGCACAGATTGTTAAGCAAGACAATATACGATATAAGATCAGAACCAAACAATACTGTCCTTTCACACCATCTTCAAAGAAATATGACTGTCAGCTGGCGAGACCCATATTCTGTAAGAAAGGAAATTACTCGCATCTGACAGCAAACTTTGTAGCCAGCAGCGAGATTTGAGGTTCTTACGGTGTAGGTTACAAAGATGTCTGTCTTCTGGGTTATTGCGCCGTGTTGTCTGGTAAAGTTTACCGACGTTTCAGAGGTTATTGCTGCCCGAATTATAACCTGTCCTTAATGCCTTCATCACCTCTGAAAAATCGGCAAACTTCTACGGCGTAACAACCCAGGAGACAGCTATGAAGACTAAGTTATGTCGGGTGTCGTGCATATGCTTTCTAGGATTCGAAAATGTAGTTGTCTTAAACTTCTTCATTCTGACACACCTTATTAACAGGACCAGTACAATACATTTCCAGAGTACTATATGACCCATTCAGTTTCATTCATAATCTTATCATCACATTATCAATGACACTGACAGTTATTAAGTCTGTTGGTCACAGTTTACGATGTTGGACCGAACGTTGAGTTAGTAACTTAACATTTTCCCTCAACCGCTGCCTTCCACAGTCTTTCCAATTCATTACTCGTCATTTTTATAGTCTGAGAACCTGAAAGCGTCGTTAAATAAACAACAAACAAATACACATCTCAGTATATGGCTCTGGCCTTCTTATTTATTACTCGAAGGACACAGTCCTTGTTCTGTATTTCAATTCTATTCTCACTAATGCGTATTTAATTATTATTTTACGAAACAATATCTACTGCTGAGATCATATACAGTCAAATGAGACATTCTAAGGCAAGGTTACTGCAAATGAAATGGTAAGTTAAACGACGCCACCTCGTAGTGAGGTGTAGTTGCTGTCTGTTTCAGGAAGCTTGGACAGGGCTGAGTATGTAAATTTTGTATATTCTACACGTTGGAAGTTATGAAGTGTTCAAACAAATAAGTATGAGCAACATACACAGAATGATTAGTTTTTTTAGACATTTGAAAATGTAAATAAAAATGAGTTCCTCGAACCGAAAGAAAGGAAGCAGGCCTAAACTTGTAACTGTTAAATACACAAACATCGACAACCTTTCTCGTTCTGTGACTTCTGATTCGCTACTCTTATCTCTGGCACTAAAAGCACATTACAGAAATTTGGCAATGCCACAGAACATTATTTAATGAAACTATCTTTTATTCTGCACGTGGTACAGTTCTATTTATACCTACTCTTAATTTATAGCGATTCTTTTCCACGTCTTTAATCTCTGTTCCTGACTCTAATACAGCAAAATAAGAGCTTTTATGAGAATTTCTTGGGAATGTGAGATTAAATTTAATTTTGTTACGTGTCGTTGAGTTGGATTTATTACTCACTCGTAGGGGTTTTTCGACAATTTTTTTAATCAAACACGGATGCTATTTAGTGTACCTTTAGAGACTTACTTAAGGATGTCGTTTCAGTTATAGAAGTTATAAACATAAATTCAAATGTGAAGATGATCATGAATGGCGAGTAGGTTAAGAGTCTGAAAGAAGCTAATGTGTCCTTCTTTGAAGTACTATCACGGACTATGCCTGCAGAGGCTGAATAAAACTAAGAACATCTCAGAATTCTCGACAGGTCTCCAAAAAGCAGAGAGAAACACGACTCCAAGCATTTCGTACTCCGTCCTGCTAATAGTCATTATTATATATAGCGGATCCAGACTGGTTACATATGAGACTTACCACTTACTGGGACTTACCACTCACTTTCTACTAGTGCGTGTCTACCATTAAGCACACCCAACTCAACATTTACTTTGACTTTATTCAGCGACGCCATTTCAGCTGTCGCTGTCTGAACTGTAGTAAAAATGGCAGACTATTGTCAAAAGTTTAGACAGTAGTGGCAGGATGATAATGAATCGTGAATTGGCGTGGAAGGGAGGAGATAGTTAAACCTGTTTTTGTGTCAGCACGAACATGAACACAAAGATTCTTGATGGCAACTATTATTTCGTTACAGGTCAAAAAAGAGTAGGAGCTATACCTCCACTCCCCCCAAGCGCCTGCATGGCGTGTAGCGGGACAGCTTTACTTACTTACTTACTTACATTACGTACTTACACGTTATTTCGTTACAGCGTCTTGTAATCACCTGTGACATAATTTGACCCAAAATACCCCCAACATATCGGTTTTTAATAACTGGAATGGGGTATCTCCGTAAAAACATTTTATTGTCATCATCCAGAGGTTAAATTTTCTGTGACCCAATCTGTTTTCATCCGAGAAAGTTGTTGTTGGTGGTGGTAAATTAGTAGTGACATGGCTGCAACTGATTCGAGGGTATCCAGTGGCGGGTTATGTGGGAAGTTTCTTTCACAGACACAAGACCAGCAGCTTCTCAGGGAGTTATTATTATTAGTCAGATATCTTCTTATTTTACTATAAATGCCCAAAAATATAACTTTGCTGAATAATACTAGCTGCTGTGTATCTCCCATACAATATTTCTGTCACAATCAAGGATATAACAACCTATTATTGTAAAATTTCTTATCAAAAGATGGCGGACTCATATTATATGTTGGTGTCAGCCACTTAATATTAAAGCTGTATTTAGTGCCAACGATTCGACATTGAAGGACGGCCTATAAACCTACTGATGCAGACCGTCCCATTACTCGGGGATGATTTAAAGTCTTTCGATAAGCGAAAACATGCGTGACACTTCGAGATTCGGCCTGTGGGAATACAAACATTTGACTCAATAATTTGAACGTCAGGTAAAACCTCATAACCTGAGTGAGACGTATAGTTTCGTGCCGGTCGGTGAAAGTTTCCCTCGCCAAACTGTGACGACTGGTAGCAGGCCACAAGCAGTTGTTTTCTGTTCTGTGTGCCAGTTTCCATCACACGGAACTGCGACCAAAGGTTACAGTTTTGTCAATAATATCTTCAGGCCCTTCTGAGGAATGCACCTCAAAATATGTGGAATGTCTGGTGACTTTACGTCAATACTTCAGGGTCTTATTCCTGAGGTCATTGCCAGTCAGAAATGTATGAACACACGTCCGGTTTTTAATGGTTACGGAACTACGGATATTTAAAATTCAAGATTCGTGTGTCTTGCAGCATCGAAAATTCGATGATGTCGTTCATCTGTTTATTTTTTGTTCATTCACCATGTTTTTGACGGAAGTCTAGGGCTACGAAGTCCGGTGACCGCAGTGGCCACTTCTACGGACTACCACGACAAATCCATCGGTCAGAGAACTCCTCATTCACGTATTTAATCACGTTTCAACTGAAATGCGGCGTGCCTCGTTACGCTGGACGTATATCCTCAATTGTGTTGTGTGTCTTGAAGACTCATGGGTGACAATGAATTTCAAATATCTATCAGCTATCTACTTTTCTTGTTATTATCTTTTACATTCTAAAATCTATCC